ACTGAACGTTTTTGGAAGAGAACGTGGATATCGAGAAAAACCATCTGTTCCTCATTATAAAAAGCAAATCTAAAACAAACAAACAAAAAAATGAAAAATGAATTTCCCATTTTCAATTTCCCTTTTCATTTTTCCATTCCCCATTCCCCATTCTCCATTTCTGCTTTTAGTAACATCCTTCTTTCAACCAGCGCGTGTTACATCTGAACTTTACTATCATTAAGGATAAGCCAACAAAGATTTTTTTTAGTCTATAACTACCCGAGTTTTATCTAGGTTTTGAAATGAAGCTCAGCAAACAAAACTATATCTTTCTGACCACATAGTCAGACCGCGATGGACTATCAAGACTATCTACGCAGACCGATTGTATGATATGAGTTTGTCTCAAGACAAGTAAAAAAAACTGGAACATCTCCTATGAGAGAAAAGTCATACTACATAATCATTTACTACGTTACCGTTACAACCGATATTTCTTAGGAGACACTTCGAATCGATGAACCAGAACTAAGCTACATTCAATTGAGCTATATTGTTGTACAGCCCTAGATTTTAAAAGAAACGACCATTAAGCAATACTACACACCAAAATGTCTAATAAGTTGTTCATTATCCAACTGCTTTTTCTGCCGAGTTTCTCTGCTAATTTTTTATAAGGCGGGAAAAGCAAAGCGGAAAGAGAAGCGTAGCGCGTGCCGCCGTCCGGTTAAACAGGTTTTTTTACTGTACAAAATAACCAACTGTACAATATCGTAGGATAATTGTGATTCACTTGTGCTCCATTCGCGCCATATTTGTACTCTACTTTGTGCAGTTGAATATAATTTTGAAATAAACGGTTGTGTTCTACAGCTTAAAATGTTTGAATGAAAGACAACTCGGAGGTTAAAGAGAGCACGCGTAGTTGATTTAATATTCTTTTTAACACTTCCCTAAATTTAAAATATCATTTCAACTCCACTCAATTAGACGAAAATCGTCTTTCTCATGATTGAGAAATTGTTTCTTTTAGTAAGATTAGCAGGTGTTACCACCTCCACAAAATACTAAGTAAATAATATTATTCAGCAACAGGATAGGTTTACATAAGTAAACAGCTCAGTGCGGTTAAAGCCAAGTTAAATTTAATTTGGAGAGTCACTGAAGAAATATGAAATAGCCCCTATCACATCAAGATGAAGTCAAACACTTTTATTCATTAAGCAGGAAATAATCCTCTGTGTAATAGCTTACACTTTGTTGTTGTAATTGTTGATTATAGGGACTTGTCCAACAACCAATTAAAGAATCTATCTTCAGGAGTTTTTACTGGCATCAGCGTCTCCCAATATGCTTCTCTGAACCTGTAAGTAAGACTGTTAAACTTTGATTTTATAATTGTTTTAAGGGACCAAAAGTAGATCAAGGTCTACACCTTACCCAGGTAAGTGTCGGGATGAAATAAGAGAAAGAAAGAGTGCATGGATGCTGAACTGACTCCTCCCCAACCCATGAGGTGTTGCTTACAGGAATGACAGCAATATAGCCGGACATATGTGATGAAAACCATCAAGCGACGTAGATATAAGTCTGCAACATTAGAATCCATCAATTCTTTCTATCATAAAAAAAAAACTATTGTTTTTTTTTTATCGTGTATCCGGTTATGGCGAGGACCTCATGAACATTTACCAGTCATTGGGCGCGATTGTCCGGTTAAAAGGAAGTTTCGAAAGAAATAATGTCATCTTCTGAGACAAACGTTTTGTAACCGTGGGCGTAAGTCATCAAACGGAATCAAGTACATAGTCACGTGTTATTTGAATGAATAAAGTTCGGCTCTTTATAATTAATTGGTCAGCTCTGGGATATCTATCGTTTGATTTCCAGATTTATAACAGTTCATCAGTCTCTTTTGGTTGATTTTGATCCGTCTGTCATAATTCAGGGTCTTTTGATTTATAGAAACAGCAACTCAGACTACTTCGCTTAGATCTTGAAAGTTCACATCAGCTTGGTATCATACTCTTGATTCTACTGTTACCTTTGGCAAAATTGAAAATTTTTTCAGATATTTTTTTGACCTTAATTTAACTTGATCATGAAGAATGCGGCTCATCACGTGACCCCAACTTTTGTTCCCCAATGATTGCCACAACATACACACGCACTATAATTTGTGGAAAGTGCGGCGTCACTGACGGAAACAATATGACTTCCTGAACGCCTTTAGTTGGACACCATGACTGGATGCTCAAGATAAATAGCCATTTAGGTAGTAAGATTGTCGCTCTCGGTGATGGAATGGAGAACAAATTTAGTGGGAGGTCGTAATTAAACCTAAAAAGAAATAATAATGATCCAAAGGTAGTCGATGCATCAGTGAAAACTTTTTAATTTAAAAAAACTTAAACTCATAAGTATTAGACCGTTCAAAGTAATTTTTTAAAGGGTTCAATAGAACTCGAGAGTCTTTCATTAGGCACCGTTTTCATCTAGTGCTTTGTGCGTAACGTTCAAACGGATACATGTCTCAGCTTTCTATTGCTTTGTTTTCCATAAAATAACTGAGTTAGCTTTAATTTGTTATGTGCTCGACTTTACTCTTAGCCTCAGCTTTTATAACCTCTGTAGGTGACCAGTGTGATGTTTTTTTTTTTGTCACGCGTTCTTTTTTAGTATCAATTCAATCGGACTAAAACCTTGATCAATGAACTTCTTTGTGTGGTTTACCTTCTTTGACGTGATGTTATCTGGTGATATCTCTTAGCGGAATAGTTCAAGATTTGTCCAAAAAAACTGAGTACAAAAGTTTGATAGCGTAGAAAGTTCCGGTTAGAATTTAAGCGTCCCGCCGTCAGAGGTTTCGCTGTTCACGATGTTGAACGACAATATGCCTACGTGGTATTCAAGAGGTGAAAAGGAGACATCGCGGAGAACTGGAAATAAAGTGCTAAGTGTTATTTTAAAGTCATATCACCTTTGATATGGGAAATCTATCATGAAAAAATTGCGCTCGCTCTATGTTAAAAAACCATTTGACACCCTAGCCTACGTGTAGCCGTACCCTCCCTCCAAGGTGAAACGGAAGCGAGGGAACGTCTACGGAAACCTGACACCGACTAATCGTGTTCCGTGTCGCCACTCTAATTTATGCAAAATAATGTCATTTGATAATATTTGTTTGTGAAGTGGCACGTGTTAGCAAGAAGGTTATCGAGATAAACAACAAAACTGAAGTGAATTCATTTTCCATTTTTCGGGTAAATTTGCAATTCAGCGGCCGATTTCAAATATATACTTTGCTTTTAGGATATAGGAAAAGATTATGAGCGATTTTTTTGTATAGAGTAAGAAGAGGACGATGTTCGATTAGCACCGCGCTTACGACAGTCTGCGCGGTTTCTGCTTGCATTTGTAAACAATGCCACGGTCGGCGAAAAAAGTTGGATCATTTGATGCAGAGTCTCAAGGTTTTTACAGATTTCTTTACGAGATAATTATGCTTCAAGCGTGAAGAAAGAGCGACTCTTTTCTCAGTCGAAAGAATCGCTGCAAGAAACAACTAGCTTTAATTTAAGTGACTAAACGTCCGGCAGCCGAACGGTAAGCCGTAGATTCTAGGCGGCTGTTTGTGTCGGGGTCTTATCTTGTTGTAAACGGCCTCTGGTAGATATCCGCTTCGCTTCAAGGTAAGCAGCTTTTCGGACAACTTGCGGGTCAGACGGTCTGTCGGATCTTTGTCGAGGAGCTGGTACGGTCCGTTCTCAATAAGCGTAGACATCTTAGTTCGGTAGGTGTCGGTATACGCTAGCGCGCCCTTTGTCCGCTGGGAGAACCATGATGGACTCGTCTTCTCTCAGGCTTTTAAGTGCATCTCGCATCTCCTTCGTGATGTTAGGCTCTGGTTGTTCCACCTGTTGAAGGATACCGTTAACAGCTCCTCTGACAGTTGGCCTCCCTTGGCCTACTGTGTCAGTCTGATCCTTTCCCTTAGGAATCTCATGGATGCGAGTTCAGCGACTCTGCGTGCGCCTTTGGTGGGAACTGGCACATAATAACAACATTCTAAGGCCACTAACTCGATCTAACGGCAATATGACTCAAGATCATCCCTCTATCGACTTGAACTTTTGCTTACTCAATGCACAATCCTTGAATAACAAAGCCGGCGAGTTTACCGATCTTGTTTCTGAATACAAACCAGATGTGGTTGCTCTAACAGAAACATGGTTTTATCCGATGGAGTCAGCCTCGTGAACACTCTGCACGCCTGTTGGCTACAAACTTCTAGACTATCCACGAACTAGTCGAACAGGGGAAGGGACTGGAGTACTGTTCAGGGACAACCTAACTGTGAAAAAAGGAGCTACCGCTGAACTGCGATCATTTGAGTACTCTGAGTGGGATATTAAGTCTGAAACCGACCGGATCCACCTTATTATCGTCTACAGAACACCTGACGCACATCCCGGCCGTCATCACAATTGTCTTCTTCCAAGAGTTCTCAGCATTTCTCGAATCTGCAGTTCTTTGCTCAAGCCATCTGTTAATTACTGGGGACTTTAACATACACATGGACGAGGAAGCTGACACTGATGCAGTTAGACCGCGCGAAATACTCGAGAGTACTGGTCTAAAGCAGCATGTTACCGCTCCCACTCACATCAGCGGGCACACCCTTGATCTTATTATTACAAGATTGTCTGACCAGCTTGATATTTGCAGCCCATGGACCGTTTATCTATTTTCTGACCACATGCCAGTCTATTCCAAACTCCAAGTGTGCAAACCTGCCCTTTAAAGATCGGATATAACTTTCAGGAAAATTAGGTCTATCAATAAGAAGCTCCTACGGAACGAGATTTCTGATACCGATCTCTGTAAAAACCTGCTTTCATACAACCTCGATAGTCTGGTCAATGCCTATAACAACACATTCAAATCAGTCCTTGACCACTATGCACCAGCTATCACTAAGACCGTAGTTAAAAGACCAACTGTTCCTTGGTTCAATGATGGAGTAAAGTCTGCAAAAAAGGAAAAGAGGCGCGCGGAGAGGAAATGCAAACAAGGCAAGGCAAGGAACAAGGCTCCATAGTGATCTGTTAGATTTTAAGGCCAAGAAAAACCTGGCTACCTATGTTATTAAAAGAGCACGATCTGACTACTACACCAACTTTATACAGGCAAACTGCAGCGACTCGCGCAAGCTCTTCTGGTCTGCAAAAACGCTCTCTGACCAGGAGGTGGACCTGAATTTTACGGGTTACCACGACGACACAAAATTAGCTAACGATATCGGCAAGTTTTTCGTACAGAAAATTGAGCGCATTCGAACCAAGTTCGACACAGCTGCTACTACAGACTCTAGTCCATTGTTTGAGCCACCACATTCAAACTCAGCTCAGCTAGTCTCCTTCAAAATCCTGAGTCAGAGGGACGTTAAGAGTTTAATTGGGAAATCGAGCAAGAAGACCTGTCACCTTGACCCTATGCCTACTCCCCTGGTAATTGAGTGTCTTGACGCCCCCCTACCAGTGATCTTTAGGATGATTAACCTTTCTCTCCAATGCGGAACCTTCCCCGATGACTGGAAGCTTGCTGATGTTAAACCGAGATTGAAGAAGACTGGCGCCCAGGCATTGTTTTCCAATCTGCGACCCATAAGCAATCTATCATTTGCTTCAAAACTTACCGAGCGAGCTGTGTTTGCCCAAACACATGATTACCTCATTACAAACAAGCTCTACCCTAAAGCACAATCTGCGTACTGTGAATTCCACAGTACAGAAACTGCTCTGCTACGAGTGAAAAATGACATCTTACTTAACATGAACCAACAACTTGTCACTTTGCTCATACTTCTCTACCTCAGTGCGGCTTTTGATACTGTGGACCACACAATTCTGCTCAATCGCCATTACGGGGCATGTGTACTACTGGTTTGAGTCCTATCTACACAAGAGATCCCAGTCCGTCTCCATCAATCGTGGAACATCGAATAAATTCCATTCAAAATGCAATGTACCTCAGGGTTCCTGTCTTGGCCCTCTACTGTTCGTCCTATACTCAAGCAAACTGTTTAAGATCATCGAACGTCACCTACCAGATGTGCACACCTACGCCGACGAAACGCAATTGTATATATCCTTCAATGCCGATTCTAGAGCTGAGCAGTCGGCCGCTTTATCGGCTATGCAAAACTGCACTGCGGACATTAGAAAATGGATGCTTCAAGACAGACTAAGGCTAAACGACGATAAAACGGAATTCATTATCATCGGAAAAAGACAACAACTCGCCAAAGTCAACATAGACTCCATGCAGGTAGGTGAAAGTAGCATCACCCCAGCCAGCAGAGTCAAGAACCTAGGCTGCTGGTTCGATGGACAACTTAAGATGGATACTCAAATAAATAGCATCCGTAAAACCGCACTTTTTCACTTATACAACATCAGAAGGATAAGAAAATTTCTTAACTTTGAATGTACAAAGATTCTAGTAAATGCTTTTGTAACTAGCCGTTTGGACTTCTGTAACAGCCTGCTATATGGGTTGCCTAACAACCAACTAAATAAACTACAGAGAATCCAAAATGCGGCCGCTCTTAGGCCAACTCTAGCCAGTCAGAATTGACGAAAGAATCGGCAAAAGGGGTTAACCAATAAAAAGTCATTATACATTTTCTTGCAAAAGAGTGACGTCACGGAACACCCGCACTCTACTACTCGTAATTCCTACAACCCGGCAATGAGACCAGTGATGGGAAGTAAGAGTCTCGAAGAGAGATTTAAAAATCGTGCTTGGCTTTAATTCAGGAAAGGAGATAAACTTGTTAACTGTCTATAAAGAACTTTTTTTGATTTTGCCAACTGTCATGCGTCCTGTGGATAAGCCATTTGTCTGGGTGACTCTCACTGTGGCGTAGTGTCAATAATAATAAGTAGCCGCACCGGTAAACATCGGGTAAAAATTGCGTCAAGATCAGAATTCTATTGTATCATTCTCTCACTCTCTAATCTCGACAACTTATGTGGCTTCGCCTCCCATAGGAGGCAGTAGCGGATCAGAAGCGCATTCGCTGCGAGACCACCAGGAGGCAACAGCTGATAAACCGCTCAGGAACGGTTTAATGCAAGCGCTTTAACAGCGGTGATGAAGGCCTGAAGACAACCGCTTGGAAACAGTTTGATAAACAGTCTAAGGTAACCGCTTGAAGACATCACGAGAGCTTTTGAATACAACCGCTATAACACCTCTGGTGAATGCTCGACGTTAGTTGCCACAAAACCGCTCATAATGCCGTGAAAACAGTCTATACAATGAATATGGAAGCGATCCTCGAAGTAATGAACAACTCTTAAGCAGTTTAGTGAAAGTAAGGCCTGAAAAAAAAAATTCAGGCCTGCACGGGAGTTTAACCCGTGACCTCTGCGATATCGGTGCAGCGCTCTACCAACTGAGCTGACAAGTCAACTTGGAGCTGGTTATTATGTTGGTTCCAAAAAAAACCGTGAAGTGATAAATAAATGACAGTAAATATATGAAAATTATATTTGTGAACTGCGGATAAAAAAATGAATTTGGAAGCGATCCTCGCAGTTGTTACGGGAAAATTTACTGATTTTCCCGTGTGTTATTCGGAACATATTTATTCGTAAACTTTCACATTTAACCATTTCAAGTCCTTTCATTTTAATAAATCAAAAAAATCTATAAAAACCACAGTAGCTTTTGAATAGATTTTTGTTGTGACTCGCTTTCATCATATACACCTGCTTGTCGGCACTTTTGTTATTTATTACATGGTTTTTTTAGGTAAATATAAGTGTTAATGGTCTTCCTGGAAAAATTGGTTTTCATGGTAGTTAGCAGCTGAGTTTATACTCGTAACTTTAAATTCTTTTCATACGATAGTTTCCACACCAACCTTGCATAGATAAGCAGAAACTTTTAATTGCTTTTCCGTTTTTATTTCCTAAGCTGTTCTGCTGTAATCAAGATAGGTATTATTTTCTATACTAGAGCTGTGAATTCGCACCTAAGTTTCCTACTGTAATGGTCTAGAGTTTATTGCATTCGTCTTCTTAATTTCGAAATTCTTTCCGTCGTAGAAACAGATGGAATATTTAAGTAGTTTTCGTTTAACTTCAAAGAGACCTTTTTCCGCTCTTTTGTGTCCTTATTCAAATATTGCGATTTGTGTAACAGTAGCACCTCACACCAGTTAGTTCTTAAGCAAGTACCTTGTACAGTTTTGATGATTACAAACTTGAGTACGATAGAGGTCATGTCGCTTGTTGGCCTGACCTTAGAATAAAACTACTGTGGACCCAAAATGCTGTCTCTTCCTTGACGTCCGTTCAAGCTGACTCGAAGCAGATCTCCGTGTGCCAGGAAATCGTGACGAGTTTCCGTTCTCGCTAGCCGAGTGGTCTCTACCGAAAATTCCAGTGTAGCGAGCGAAAACCTATCGTCACACAGTAATAAACGCTACTTTGGCAGAGGTGAAAATAGGGCCTGAATAAAATTCAGGCCTGTACGGGATTTGAACCTTATTTTTACTACTGCTGAATTTTTTCGGGCCTTATTTTCAACTACTGCTTAAATAGTGTACATTACTACGAGGATCGCTTCCATATTCATTTCGTTATCCGCTGTGTACATATGTAATTTTCATATACTTACAGTCATTTAGTCTCTACAATACTACTGAGGACCACATACAGACAACCAGCGCTGAAAACGCCCAGTACAACCGCTATTCTTGAATGGATGTCATTCAATAGAAAATTAGTGCTTGTGACTCAAATGAAAATTCAGTTAATATTTAGTGTGTTAATAAATCTTTGCTGAGAGTTCTGAAAGAATTTGGTTAACTATGGAGCCAAACACCCAATAGCTCGAGCCACAGCTTTCTAACCGTCTATAACTGCTTAATAAGATCACATAAAGCCTCATGTTTCACAAAGTTTGTATAACAGCTAACGGTAACGAAATAGTTTTTCCGCCGTATCGTTATTCTTTACTCAGTAGAAAAAATTTAGCCCAAGGGTTCCTTAAAGTAACTGTTGAAATAATGTGTGTCTAGAGGGGTTGAAAGGATACATCTTTTAAGATGATTTAAAATATTTCGTTAAGTTTATCAATAAGCGAGTTCAATTCAATTTAATAAATGAAGCTGAATAAACAATGAATCGATCATGATCACGAGCGACGTTAATCCTTATGAGACATTTCAAATCGGTAAACAGCTTCAGATGTTTGAATGTTGGACCATACAGGGGTCAGAGGATGGCACATAAAGTTTATTTTAACAATCTGTTCATTACTTCTTCAAATTTTGGATTAGATTTTCATTCCAGCCAAGTAATTTAAATATTATGTGTCTCATGGTTTTGAAATCATTACCTCTACTCGGATGTGCAGATAGTATCAACCTCAGAAAATGCTGAATAAACAATGCTATTCGGCCTTAGAAGAATGGAATATTAGTAAGGCCAGGTTAAATTTTTTAGCGAGATATATCCGATAACGTTAAAAATAGTTGCACATTATTTAAATGGTACACAGAGTTTTTTTAATTATATACTTTGTCATACGCTATGCAGATATTCCTTTCAATCTGGATTATAATTCATATACATAACTACGGACTGACTCAACATTATTCTTTAACACGAGGTTGTTTTTGAGGAAGAGCCATCGTGACTTATTTTCGGTCGCTTCGAACACTTGCTTTTTTTGCAAAATACGTGAATCAATCAGCACGTTGTATCAAGGTTTCTTTCAAACTAATAGAAAGTTTTTTGCAAAATGCCGCGTACTAACGTTTCCAATCGACAGAACATGTCCTTAGTGGAACTTTTTATCGAAATTTTAAAATCGAAAAACTGTCCGAATCAGCTGTTGTGATATATTAATTTTAAAACGAAGCGCGAAACCATCTTTTTACAGTGTTAGCCACTGTTACATCGACAGCTCAACTCTAGTTCGTTCATCAGCATGTTTGAATATTTCCCCATTTCCCAAATTTTCAAATGCGCATCACAGTTTAAGAGTTAAAATATTACAATCAACTAAAGCTATGAAGAGAAGGGAATATGAATGAAAGGTTACCACAAAGACTACATCATAATTAAGAGAAATAAACTACAATAAAACGCCCTGATTAAAAATGTCCATAAAAAATGCGATTTCTATTGTATTTGCACTCCCTTTATTCAGAGGAACTGCATTCAAGAATTTTATCAAAACAAGTTCACTTAGGCTAGCTTCAGACTGAAAACAGCTATGACTAAGAACGGGTCTGTCATTGGAAATTCTGAGATCATAATTTGGTAACAAGGAGCTAAAAATTTCTAGTTTAACGAATCATAAAAGTAATTAGAAGTATTTTAAACTCCATTCTTTTTCTTATCGGAAGCCAATGTAATTAAAAACCAATCCCGAGCATTCTTTATCCGCTGCAGCTTAGGTATAAAAAAAACTGCTGATATATTCAGAAAGCTGTTGCAATAGCTCATTCGGGTTGTAATGAACGCACCAATGAGGACCTCTGTTGACTGTTAATTGTTGTGAGAAATGAAAAGCTACATATATTTGTGACGTGTGTTGGCATAGACAGCCTGGAATCACATCAGACGCAGAGATTTTACTGCTAGCGATGAGCACAGGTTTGATGTTCGAGTCAACAACAAGAGCACTGACAGGTATCCAATTTCCCCTTTTGTGGTGTCCTAATAATGAGGTATTCGGTCTCGTTGTTGTTCAGTTTAGGATAATCGTTCAACATCCATGAATGGATGTCCCTTACGCAGTGTTCGATACTTTTTATCGTAAGAAATGCGTTCATATCAAGTGATCGCAGCTTTCTAAACGCGTTTAATGAAACACGGTTAACTTTACGGGTGGTCGAGTTGTTTTCAGTTTGAATAGCAGTGTCAGATTAACCCAAAACAGGATGTCAGGCATACGTTAACCGCTGATAAAGTTTTCTAAGTTCCGCGTAATTATCAGATCCAGTACATGGCCCAGTTCGTGTGTTGATTCCGACACACGTCACGTTATTAATATCGACTCCAATAAATCAAAAAAATGACAGGCTGCTGTGTCATTGTGATCATCAACGCGGATATCGAAATCATCAGTTAAGAAAAGAGGATCGTGAGAAAAAATAATAGGTTCCAAGAATTCTGAAAACTCCTCAATAAAACTGATAATAGTCAGAGGATTGGTTCTTTGAGTACGGTCCACGATATATTATGAAAAATCTGAGGCGTTTGCGAAAAAAGCAGCCTAATTATTTTAAATCTCGTTTTCTTTTTTAAATGTCAAATGATCTCGTCTTCCAGTTCAAATGTCTGAGTGGTGTTGCCGATCTCAATGTTCATGATTTTGTTTCCTTTTTCATCTCACGGGCGGTGCCTCGCACAGGTCCTTGTGTCCCGTTCGCACTAGGCCTATTGTGTCCCCGACTTTTTTTGTCTGCTTTTCTCTCTCGATGAATTTTTTTGCTGTAACTTGGATTTTCGATTTTTATGGTATATTATATTGTTGTACGAGTATTATTTGAGTCACACCCAATAAAACTGTTAAAAAAATAAACAGAAGAAGCGTACCCCCACTTTCACGAGCACTCTTGGGACAACTAAATATAGTTTAAAGCCAGGACAAGCTATCGCATTGCAAATTACAGGGTCGTTATCCGATAACAAGGTTTCAGTTTTTACAAATAAGTCAGCATTACATTGATAGACGTAATCAGCAAATAATGCAGATGTGTTCGCAATTCAGCGAGCATTCAACGTGCACACAGTCAGATGAGTATTGCCGTTGTTGTCTAATGAAGATCGGATACTTACTCTATCTGCGCAAGATTGGAATGGTGGTGATGATTTCGTCGTCTACGTTTCAAAGTACAACTATTTGTTGTTAAAGTCGTGATAAGCGGACCAGCAACAAGTGTCGCCACTAGTTGCTGAGCGAAGGCGAGTGAGGTTAAAGTGAAGTATGGTGTGTAAGATCTCCGACGAGTAAAGTCACTATACCTTCTCGTAGAAGATTAAATTCCAAGATAGTGGGTCGAACTCAACGCTGACTGATAGCTTGCATGATGCATATCTCTTCTATC